GGAAGAGCTAGGAAACAAGATGCAAAGCAGGGGGCCTAAACCCTAAACCCTAAACCCTAAACCCTAAACCACTCCGACCCCTATCTTAAAGGCGCCTTCGTCTTCAAACCGCACTTCCACCCTGCCGCCCCGTAGGGCGAAGAGACGGAGCCGTAGAAGATGCAATGGCAGCCATTCGTTTGAAACCTGCAGGTGGAGGGTTGAGGGTTCAGGGCTTATAGGGTTTATCGGGGTTTAGGGTTAGGGTTGAGGGTTTAGGGTTTACGGTTTAGGGTTTAGGGTTGAGGGTTCAGGGTTTATAGGGCTTATAGGGTTTAGGGTTTATAGGGTTTACCTTAACACCAAAGAACCTACCGTTATACGGACTTATATAAAGAATTCATAGTAAGGAATCCTAAAACGGGAGATTCTTTCCAGTCCAGGTAGGGCTTACAGGGTTTGGGGTTTCAGTTTGGGATTCAGGATCTAGGTTTTAAAATTGTAGGAGGTTCTTCAAACGAGATCAAGGTTGCTTAGGATGATGCTGGGGAAGATAGGTAAGATGAAGCTCAGAATCACCACCACCATCACGAAGCTGTTGAAGATGTCGGCAAGTTGCTACGAAGGGAAACCCTAGACCCTAAAAACATAAACCCTCAACCCTAAAGTAAAGCTCCCGGGGGTCTTCAGTCCCACCACCCTGGATGCACGGAAGAAGCCGTTCGTTGCTTCTGTCTTGTGTCTGATTGAAAACGCAGACCCAGCCGGATCCCAGAGTTCTTGAAGCTTCTTTATGTGCTGATGTTGCTGCAGATGCCCAAACCGGCCAAAAACTCAGGGTACATATATGCACGTAACATCTTTGCGATCTCCTACAAATCATGGTTGTTAATACTATACTACTGAGCTTGGCAATGCTTTCAGGATCAATATCAAAACCCAAAAATGCTTCGGGTCCTGTAGGTAACACAAATCACCAAGCGGGGGCGCAGGGTTAGAATCACGTAGTTTTGGGATTCATGGTGTGGGGCAACAGGGCGCTTAAGTTCAGAGTTCGATCCACGCTGGGCTTGAGGCTTTTTGATTTAGGGTTTAGGTTTAAGGTTTGCGAGGTCCGAGCCCCTGGCATAAAGCAGCCATCGCTGTCTTCCTCAGCTGGAAAAGATGGACTCCAACGGGTGACTTCGTAAGACAAAAGACTGCCTCACTTGCCCTAGTATGGGGGGGCCTTGGTAATTAATAGTAGGTCTTTGGGGCCTTCCTAAGGGACAATATTGGTCCGACTCATACTTAAGGCGGATTCCAAAAACCACACTTTGTAAAGTAGATCCTTGTCAGAGTATTGGGTCTCCATCATAAACGGAGTCAAAAACCGGATTAAGGGAGCAGGTTTCAATAATCAGGGCGGCGTAAGCGCCAAAGTTGGAGTAGAAGTTGTAGCTTCGAATCCAATAGAGTATCCCGTTGGACTAGGGTTCCTTCAAAGAGTTCCTCTAGGGGTTCTTTAAGGACTCTATCAGGGATTTGGGGTTGCGGGGGCATAATAACTAGAATCGGGCTTCGTGGTATAGCATAGTAGGCTGTATGATTAAGTCTTCATGACTACAGCGGGCTAGTATTACATATTACGCGAGCTTCCGTGCAGGGATCCAAAGTACCATGTAGCAGTGCAGATGTCCTTCAAGAAGCCTGACAGTTTTAGAAGTCTCAGTTTACCTACAGTCTCCGTTGTAGTTCCTTTTCTATCTATATACATATATATATATATATATATAGCTTGCCTTATAGGATCCTAAAGAAACCTGGTTCAATCTCAGAGAGGAACTACAATGGAGACTGTATAGGTTGTGAACGCTGGTGGAGCGGTGGGGCTTCCGCTATCGATTGCTTTCCCGAGGATCTTTCGTACAGGCTGCACAAGGCAAACATGATGTAGGAAAACCCTAAACCCTAAACCCTAAACCCTACAATATGAACTGCTGCACTGGCGGAGAACAAGTGTCAGCAACTTCTCCGTGGCATCCTGGCGTCGCCCCGAACTTGCACCACTGAAGATGAGGCCAGTGGCAAGCCATGCTTTGCAAAAAAATACACTCTTGTGCGGCGGAGTGTCGCAATGCTTTTCGCAAGCATGGAAAGGATAGCACTTGTCCTCCAAGGCTGCAGCGGTTGATTCACAATTGTTTGTATATCCATCCCGTCCACGGTTTAGGGTTTAGGGTTTAGGGTTTAGGGTTTAGGGTTTAGGGTTTAGGGTTTAGGGCTTTTGCTTTCTACTCTTGAATTCTGCTTCTAGCTTCATGCTTCAGGGGTCTGGATTGCCCGAGCCGACCTGCAAAAGCCCAGTAATGAAGCGCCGAACTCCACAAACTAACTAATGTAGGGGAATTAATACTTAGAATAGGGTTTTTTTGGGGTTCCTTACTATAAGTACAGTATAGTATACCCCAAACCCCATTCTAATTATCAAGGCCCCAATATTAACGTATTGGGTCCTTTTTTTTCGCTCTCCCTCTCTTGGTGGTTGGTGTCCTTCCAGCTGACAGTTGCTGACAGCTGGACTCAGATTGACTCCGGGACGTAGCCGCTGCAGCTTATGTAAGAAGTTGGGGCCCCCAGCTTGAGCAAAACGCTGAAGCCGCCAATTAGTACCCCTTACAATGCCTCACATCGTATCCTTACATGTAGGAGTACGAGCAACAAAGATCCACGGTCGAGAGTGCGGGATCCACAAGAATCGAAGGACGTAAGATGGCGAGATAAACTGCTTAGGGCATTTCGGCAGTGTATTCTGGAACCTGCCTCAAACACGAAACTCAAAACTGGTCTGGCTTCGGGATCCTAGACCACATCATTCGAGACTGCAGACGAAGAAGGCCAGTCCGAATCCTGACCCTCCGAATCTTGGGCTATTAGCCAACACGTCGAGTCTGCACGAACTGCAACCACGCATTGGCCTTCGACCCGTTGTTCCTTTAAAGCCTCAGCTCAAGCCTCAAATCAAAAGCAGAAGAACCTCAGCACTGTGAGCCGGTCCTTCCAGTAGGCGAACCTTTATGTGCAGAGTCTCGGGGAATGTAACGTCGGGGCCTTAATACATATATAATCATATACGTATATATATATATATATATATATCTCTCTCTCTCTCTCTAATCATTCTTCTATATATATATATATATATATTATAATATAACTCGACTAGGATTTGAGGTATCCAAACTGTAAGGACTGGAGGTGATATTATTATGGCTAGTTCTTACGATCCCTATATTTAAAGGAACCACCACGACTGTTTGAGTTATTCTAGTCTCTTTGTCGTCACCACTCATCGGACTCATTGCAACAAAACATGTCCCAAGGCTTTGGGGAGATCAAGCCCCAGTCGGTGCTTCCATGCCCAGTTAACTCCTGTTGCCTCTCCGGGCTCACTGGCCGGTCGTGGTTTAGGGTTTAGGGTTTAGGGTTTAGGGACACCTTCTCAGTCACTGGCGGTTCCGTCTCCAAGGGCACCTGTGTGCCTCGTGAGACATTCGCAGACCAACAACTCCGTTGCCGCTAATTACGATCCCGCTCCTTTGACAGGTGCCACGTTCACACTTCCTGTGCCAGCCTAGGATTAAATAACCGCCCGGTGCTGGCGTGACATAGTGCACCTCGCGGCTCTTCTGTGCCAGAAATGGAGCGTCGCTGCCATTTGCTGGCGTTTTCGTTTGGCCATGCGCTGCTCCAACCGATCGAGGAGGTGATCGGGTTGTTCAAGTCTTTCAGGTTCCAGATGCTGCAGTGTCCGGGAAGAATAGGCGTTCAAACTAAATCCTAAAAGCCGAAACCCGAAACCCTCAACCCTAAACCCTAAATCCTAGAAGCCGAAACCCAAAACCCTAAACACGACGCACATAACAACTAAAGTGGACGAAGTACTGACTGGACTTGGGGCTGCCTCGCCACATTCTTCTGCCTCTGTAAGGTTTCGGGTTTAGGGTTCATTCTTCTGCCTTTACGGATCTTCAGACCGTCAAAGACGACTCTTTGATCGTGTGCCGCTTTAGGGTTAAGGGTTCAAGGATCTCTGGGTTCAGGATTAAAGGCTTCAGGGTTTAAGGATTTCGGGGTTTAGGGTTTCAGGAGTTCGGGTTTGGGGTTGAAGGACTTCCGGGTGTAGGGCCAGTGCAATGCTGCACGGTTTTGGGGTTTTGGAAACCCTAAACCCTACACCCTACACCCCTACACCCTAAACCCTAAACCCGGCCACGGGGCTTGGATTTTCGCTTGGGCCGTAGGCGATGGAGAAGAGTATTGCGCAAAGCAAAGTTTGAGACAAACATACGCTGCAAATACAGACACAAGGGCCTGAAATCAGACGTGTTTAAGGGGCTTTAGGGTTTCCTGTAATGGTATAGTAGTTCTGTAGGGAATATGTAGTAGCCTTGTTCCTGTTCTTCTGCCATCTCAACACTCTGTGATCTTCTGCCAGACCCGACCATTTTAAATTTTCTTTGCACCCGCTCTGAACCTGTCAGATACCAAACCCAAACCACGGGTGATACGCACCCTGGCCCCAGCCCGAGCCCCCTAAACCTTAAGGACACCGACCCAAGAAACACGGAAACCACCCTTAATATCGCGATCCCTACGCTCCAAGACCTCCTGAACGGCGCGAGACCTCTCCGAACTTTAGGCCCCATTCCTGGATGTTGGAGTACCATACTTTATTGGGGTTGTCGGTTATATTATGATACATTAGTACAAGTTTTAGTCATATCATGGTAATCAAATAATCGGAAATTTTGTAATGTTAAATAAAAGAAACTAATCGTCAATTATGCGAATATAACTATGGCAATGAACAGCTGTATTTTGGTATGCTATAATACTATATGGGTAGTTGTCAAAATTAGGGTCCCTTTCGGGGTACCCGAAATAATAGGTGCCGTATTATAATAAGGACCCAAAAAGGGACCATAATTTTGACAACCACCCATATAATGCTGTCAGACTTTCTTTATGTGCCAGGCTGCTGCTTGTCCGTCGCACACCCGCTGTTGTCGAATCGGATGATCTTCTCGCCGCCCTGGCATAGGGGGTCTGCCATCTGGGACGGGACTAGCTAGAGTTGAAACCCTTAACCCTTAACCCTAAACCCTGAACCCTAAACCCTAAACCCTAGACCCTGAACCGGGGTGGACGGTGCAGGGGGTCTCTCGGATTTAGGTGCCCCCTTTGCGTTTTGTCTAAACAAGGCCTCTTCTGTGGACGTTTTGGTACTGAAACGCCTAAATCTCGAACCCCGAAGCCTCAAACTCCGCGTAGCTCCGGAATCCTCGGTAGAAATAGCACTGAACACCACACACACTGCTGAGGACGCAAAACCCGCCTCGAGAAAACCTATACCAAACTTGAATCCAAAAACCAGGTTGAGTTGTTGGAACCAAAAAGTCCTCTAGCGCCAAAGCCCTCACCCTTCAACCGGGCCAGTGCTTGTCCTTGCACTTGGTCTTGTAGAGCGTCTTGCATTCTTTGAGTTTCTTCCTTGGTTGAAGTCGCTGTGATTCGGGTGTCGGTAGTGAGGGGTAACGGTCGAGATTCGGGATGGGAGGCTCGCGAACAGGGGTCTTAAGCCCCTCTGAATCCAAAGCTAGAACCCAAGGTGCTTCGCACTGGGAATGACGGTTGTCGAAGGATTCGGGTCTTGATGGGAATCTAGTAGAGAGCGCGTTGTCATGCTGGCCACCCTAAACCCTTGTCAGTGTAAGAAAAAGGCTTGTCGTTGTGGTTGGAAAGCTTGTCAGTGTGCACTTAAACCCTGTCGTGGTAAGGACCTACTCTGGAATCTAGTACGATAATACAGGGGTCTTAATAATTAGAATAGGGTTTTGGGGTATATTATACTATAACTACAAAAAGAAACCGCCACAAAAGTATTGGCAATTATTTAGGCCACTACATTAAACATACGAGGTAGTGAGTGTCAGCACCACCAGCACTCCGCAAGCACCGCCACCACCACCATTACCACCAACCTAACGACCACTACGGTTTTCTAGCACAGAGTCTAAGTACTACGTTACTACGTCGCCGCGATTGAACCCAAGAATCACAAAGCTTTGGCACGCCCCTGAACTCTGTGACCTCCCGCAAAGTTGCTCAAATAATCCTAAACCCCTAAGACCCTGAGGCCAAGGTGCGGATGCGAGGTCGCCGCTTCATCGAGAGTGACCTTTTTGGACCTGGTGGCAAGATTTCTTGCCGCTTTGCGAACTTCTCTCTGGAGATTAATTTAGGGGGTTTGGGTTGAGGGTTTCTAGGGTCTGGGGTTTAGGGCTTGAGGGTCTGGAGCTCTGGGCGATGCGGGTTCAGGGTTTAGGATAGTGTCATAACATACATTTTCCACGACAGCCCCAGAGCCTGCGGTATAGTACAGCCCCAGAAAAACTCTGAAACCGACCGCCGAACATCTTACATACATAAACAAATACATATATATATATATATATACATACTATCCTATACCCCGAAACCTAAACCCTTACCCGACCTTCTTGCGAGATCTGAAGTAGGCCCTCGACCTTGAGTAAAGAAGTTGCTGTGCAGGTACTTTAGGGTGAAAGCATATACCAACAGGCACGGGGCCCTCAAACGGCCTTTGATTTCGCATGTGCTCACTACATAGTTGCGCTTCTGGTGGGATGTAAGGGGCTTGGGCATGTAGTGAGGAATCGCACTCGTTGGGACCACTGCCGATTGATATGCCCGACCAGATAACGCAAGATAGAGGTCGGAATAATGAGTAACACTGTCCTCTTGTAGTCTCTCTATAACTATACTGTCATGAGTACAATATGTAATAGACCCCGCAACGCAATCGTCAAGGCACCTATATTACCAGCAGCGTCCTGACCGAACTACATGATCCACTCTATGAGTTCCCGAATATTCAATTCCTCAAGCCCTACTTTACCCTCTGGCTGAAAAACAGCTCCACAGACCGTAGGACCCCATAGGGACATAGGTGGTAGGGTATGGGATTTGGAATTTAAGGACCCGAAACAGCCCAAAAGATGGATCCTCAAAGCCTGCCGGTAATGCAACATGAGACAGCCTCAAGGGTGTAGGGTTTAGGGTTTAGTGTTTAGGGTTTAGGGAAACTTAATGAAACTTCCAGGGAGTATCCACACCAAACCCCTCAACCTTTCAAAATGCGTCCGAAGGACTTGTAGTGGCAGTTTTGCGTATGACCCGGGCTGATGCACACGGCAATGCTTTCACAGCCCTTGATTTTGGAGCACTCGTCCTCGCCAGGCAGCATCGGATTGCGGGGGCTTAGAGATATGGGGTCGGCGGATGGGATCTCCATTACCTTTTAAGGTAAGCAGCATAAATTGCTTGGAGAAACCCTGACAGAGTCTTATACGGACGAGCATAGCTGCGTGATGCTTCAGTCACGGCCTGCAGAGACAAAAACTGCAACTCAAGGCCTTAAAGCTCACGGTACTTTCATGAAAGCCGCCCAGGTATAAAGCTCTGGCTCTAGGCCCCCCATGAACCCTACGCCTTAACTCAGATCAGATTGAAGCAGGAATGACCTGACTGGATCGACTCTGCATTTTTGTCGGCAGTGTTTGTTATGATTGCTTGCTTATTCATAAATCCTTCTCTCTCGCTCTCTCTCTCTCTCTCTCTCCCTACACATATACATATATATATATATACATACATATGTATAAATATAAATATAAACATATATATATATATATGTGTATCTCTGTCTCTCTCTTTATCTGTCTGTGTTGTGTTACAGAATCTAGGTCTGCTATCTGCCCTCACACTGTGGTTCTTGTTTCAGCGCTTGAGGAGGTTTCCGGTCATTCAAGAAGAAACTAGAACTCAGGTCACGTTTTTTTGGAAGTAGCCTGGCATTCGAGTAGGGCTTGGGGTTTAGATGGGTTTAGGGTTTCGCGGGTTGCATGTATGTGTACACACACACATATATATA